TGCGGAGCGCCAAGCTCTCCGGCCGCTCGCTTTGGCATTGCTCCTGGGCACACCGGAGCCAAGCTCGCCCCGGCTCTGGGTAACCCGACACGTATCTCGCCACGCAGGCTGAGCAGAGCGCCGAAACGCACACGGGAGCGCCACGACCCCCTCGCGCCAGCACCGCGGCCCCCCGGCTCCTGCCCCAGCAGCCCCAGGGGGTCCACAGCCTTCGTCGCCTTGGCGGCCTCAGGTTCGCTGTCTCGGAACTGGGGAGCGTCTTAGGAACCAGCCGAGATGCAGATGGACGCGACCTCCGCTCCTGCACTGTCTCAGCACTTATTTGCAGGTACCATCGTCCCGCAAGGACGGGTGGGAGCTGCACTTGGACCCTCCGGGGTTGGATGCTCCAGAGGGGACCAACGAGGCATCAGCGGTGCCTGCTGGCAGGCACCGACAGCGGGGAAGAGACCTCTTTCATGGAGAATATATTCTCTCCCACCACAGCAGGCTCAGCAAGCCGTGGGAGACAAGTCAGCCCTGCCCTGACTTCACTGGAATTGGTTTTTAAATGGATTTAGTTCAACTAGTGCAAAGCTTTCCATGTATTCCCCAGCAGATGCTGCTACTGCTGCCTCAGAGCTTACTCTGGTTGAGCCTTTTAAATCAAAACCATTAGATTAAAATGACAGCACAAAGGCAGATTGGACTTTCTCTGTCACCCCCTTTGCTAATGGGGGTCAACCACGGCGATGGGGTGCCCTCGGAGGCCTGCGCTGCTTTCGCCTGCACACTTTCCTCGGAGATGCACAGCAGAGCGAGCGGGAGCAAGAGGGGGAAGCTACTCTTCTACTTTAAAAAAGCTTCCAGAGAAACAGGGATTATTTGGGGAGGGAGGGGGAAATACTTGTAAAAGAAAACATTTATCTGGAGCTTGTCAGAACTGATCCATCAGGTTTTGGTGGATGTTGCCCAGAGCAAGAGGAGGACTCCAGGCCCTCGCTTGGCACCTGTGTCCCCTTGGCACCGGTCCCCTTGGGTGTTTCACTGGCACCAACAACCATTTGCCTGCACCCAGGGACCCGCTCACATCAGAGGGACCCCTGTGTCCTCCCTGATGGAGAGAGCTGCATCTGGACAACACCAAGGAGCAGGCAAGAAGCAGGTTTGCAATTCCCACGCTTGAAGAGCAAAACCGGTCCGTGCCCTCGAGGACCTTCTGGGAGCCATCAACCTTATAAAACCAGGGCAGCCGAGAGCCCAGTGAGACTGCACTCAGCTCCTAGGCTCTGCAGGACCTAGGCTCTGCTCTCTCTTTCATAGGAGTCTCAGACAGAGGGACATAAACCGGAGGAGAAATATGGGATGCAGGCAGAAAGAACGGAGGCATGGGGAAAAGCGGGAGCTGGAAATTCGTTTCCCTTCTTCCTCCCTGCTTACCATGGGTGGCTGAGGTCCTTGGCCCAGCCAACAGCCTCAACCAGGATCCGTTTTGGCTTGACTAGCTTTGTAACGCTTTGGGGTTTGGTTCAGTGCAGTTGTAACCACTGGAACACGGCAGAGGCAAACTGCAGACAAGACTCACACCACTGCCTCTGCACTGGGGGCGGTAAAGCCACAACCGCAGCACGAGGACGCGAGGACCAGCCCTATCTCTTGCGTCGGGAGCCCTGCTTTGCCCTGTGGTTTGTCACATGCCCTTGGGCACGAGAGGCAACGGGGACTGAGGACACCCAACTCAGCTCATGCCACACAACCAGCTCAGAGTGGCCGCTCTACCTGGTGACCAGATCTGTGCAGAAAAGCCCAAAGAGAGACCTAGGGACTTACCTTTGATGCTGCTGAGAGACAGAGAGCGATCCCGGTCCGCCAGGCTAGGCCCCAGCTTGCTGCTGCTGCTGCTGTTGTCCTTCTGCCGGGCCACGGCCACGGCAATGCCAACAGGCAAGTGCCTCACCTCCACCTCGCCCTGGGAGCCAATGCTCTCGCGACCGAAGGATTTGGCACTCTCGGGTCTCTCGGGGTCCCTCTTCAGCTGCTTCGCTGGCTGCTGCGACAACAGCTGCTGGACTTTGGAGGTGCCCAGCTGTGAAGAGTCCAACTTCATGTTGCCCAGGCCACCAAAGGGGCTCTTCTTGCCACAGCTCTGCCGGGACGTGGTCTCCTTGGCAAAGCTGCCACTGTACTTGATGAGGCTCTGCATGGCCGACCCTTCACCATGGGAGGTGGGGTGGAGGACATCCGCAGTGCCCCGCGAGCCCACCACTGAGGACCGCGGCAAGCCACTGGGGTCAAGGTAGACCTTCTTGGCTTCCTCCTCTGCCCGGCTGACATGGTTGTGCTGCGCAGCCAGCACCGCCATCTGCGTGGTGGCAAAGTTGCCCATCTCAAAGGGCTTCCACTTCTGCTCAGGCGGCTTCAGCTGGCTGTGGTCCAGGTGCTGCCGGGAGGAGTCCAAAGTGCTGTAGACCTTTGCTGCTTCTTTGGAGCTGGACCGTTGGAATCGGTCCCGGTCGCAGGGGCGATGCTCTGCCTCCGGATTCGGCTTCAGCAAGTCCTTAGAGGCCAGGAACTCCCTGCTCTCCGGAGAGCCCAGCCCCGGCCGGTTGAGAAACGGCTCCGAAGCGACCTGTCTCTTCAGCGCCATGGAGTTCGCCCTGATCACCGAGCCCTTCTCCCTCAGAGCCTCCATCCTTTTGGCATCGCTGTGGCAAGAAAAGTCCTGGGACAAGAGTGTGCGGGAGGTATCCGCGAGGCACCGCTCCGTGGGCGACTGCAGCACCCCCACCTTGCCAAGGTCCTTGTCCTTCGCCTTGGCGTCGCGAGCCTGCGAGGCGATTTGGATGGGCCCGGTCCTCTCATCGTAGGCTTCGACCGAAGGCACGAAGGTGGGGGCGATGACTTTGTGCTCCCTCCCCAGCTCCTTGGCCGGCGGGAAGATGGTGTACATGCTGGAATGGACGGGCTGCGGAGGGAATGTCGTGGCGGGTGTCATCTTCCCCGGCTGCGAGGGGTGTGGGGACGGGCAGCAGGCGCCCCTGGGGGGCGGGAGCGGCTCGCCCCGCTTCAGCCGCTCTGCATGGGCGTGCGCGGAAGGCCTCATGTTCTCGTCGTGCCGAGCAGGGTCCTTGGCACAGCGGTCGGGCTCGGCGCCCAGGACCTTCAGCATGGGGTCCCCGCCGCCGTTGCAGTTACTGAGGGAAGAGCTCTGCAGTGGGTTCTTGGACTTTGGTTCCCCGCTGCCCCCACCCCGATTTGGCATGTGCTCAGCCAGGAACGGCGAGAGGCGCTCGCCGACCTTCACCGCCTTCTCCACTACGCTCGTTTTCCGCTCGCCATCAGGCTTGGTGTCCTGGGTGAGGTCGACCACGCTGCGGGGCCGGGGCTCCTCCTTCGGCTTGCCCTCCTTCTTGGTGAAGGGCAGGGAGAGGTCGCTCCGGCATGCTCGCTCCTTCCCGCCAGGGTCTTTCAGGCCTTCTTTCGAGCTCTTGTGCAGTTGCCCAAGGTCCTTCTCCCGCAGCAGAGTGCTCGGCGTGTGGTTGCCCGCACTCCTCGAGAGGGGAGGCTGAGGGTGCAAAGCAGACTGGCCCGCGTGGCCAGACAGGTAGAACCCATCTGCAGAGCAAAAGCAAGCAAGATTACCATGGGCCTCCACCCGCCTCAGGAAAAACTGCATGGAGACAGGCAAGAGGTGGCAAACTGGGAGGGAACGGGTTTTTTGGATGTCTCAGCAGTGAAACGGAGCATGGTCAGGGAGGTCCAGGGCAGAGGAGACCAAGGCAGGCACGTCCAGGTGGGACGCAGGACAACCCCATCTCTGATGCACACTGAGCACTTTACTGCAGCAGCAAGCAGGGGCATCAAGGGGGAACCTGGCTGGCTCACTAAAACCCAGCCACATCCCAAACAGCAGAGGAAGAAAACTGGAGGACGAGGGCACTGCTAAGACCTTTTCCAGGTCCCCCCACCCCTCTTCAGGGCTGTCCTAGGAGCAGTACTCTTTAGGGAGTGGGGGCAGGTGTACATGCTGCATTTCAACCCAGCAGCATCCTCAGACCTCCCAGGAACCATCCCTGGACGCCAACCCCAAGGGGTTCCCGCTTTTCCCCTCGATGTCCCAGCAGCCGGCAGCTCCAAGCAGCCACGCGGTCTCCGGAAGAGACCACCCTGGGGTGGACGAGGGCCGGGGGCCGGGAGGCGGCGCGGGGGCCCGCACTGACCTTTCTGCGACTCGAAGAGGCTGTGCTGCCCCAGCTGGGCCAGGAGAGGACTGCCGGCGCTGGGGGGCTCCAGGTGGCTCAGGGGAATGTACGACGGGTACAGCCCGTTAGGCAGATGGGAGAAGCCTGCGGAGAGCCGGGAACAGAAGAGGGAAACATGTTTCAGCCGGAACCAGCACGCCGCGCTGGAACGAGCCGCCCCCGCCGCGCCGGCTGCGGGTCCAGCTCGCTGCTTTCTGGGCCGAGCCGTAAATCTGTGGGTAAAAAGACTAAACAACGGGGCTGATAAGCTATTTTATCGCGGGCACAGCGCTCTGCAGGCGAGGGCGCTCCCCAGGACGCTTCCCGAGCAGCGGTAAGAGCCTCTTCCCAGCACAGCTTTGCCGACACAGCCCGGCCCAGCTCCAGCAGCCCAGCACCGCGGAGCAGCTTTCGGGCAAGCGCAAAAGCGTCGTCCAAAACAGCTTGCAAAAAGCAAGTTTAACGCATCCAAAAACAGCAGCTTATCCAGGAGGAGGTGAAACAAGAGGAGAAAACCTGTTGCCCACCCGCCAGCTGACACCAAAGCAGCGTGTCCCCAAGGCCCTGCTGCCAGCGGTCTGGCTTACGTCCAGGGCACCGGGGCCTCGTCTGGGAGCGAGCCCCCCAGCTACGTCCTCGTGCAAATAAACATCAGCAGCATTTTGTCAGTGAATATAATCATAATAATAACGGTAATAAAACCAGCTCTTGGCTACGGATAGCAATTCCTCTGCAACACTGCCACCAAATGGCACCCGGGCAATATTACAAACCCAAACACCGCGCTCGGCTCTGCAACATGCCCAGTGAGAATCAGCTTCCCAGTTTGTGTCATCGCTTAAAAACTGAGTAAAAGCCAGCAGGAGAGCGTGGAGGAACCAGGCAAGCCCTCTGCAACCCCTCTCCCTTCCGCCTTGCCCTCGGACCCCAATAATAGCAAAACTTCCCCAAATTCAACCACCTCGCTGAAAGCAACCAAGCAACAGCGAGTTTGTGGAGAGTCCAGCATCCAACTGGACCCATAAAAAAAACCACACCAAAACCCAGCAGGAGACAGAGAAGTTCAGTCCACGACGCTGCACGTGGAGCACCATCTGCGAGAGCTAGTCAATATTTCACATTATTTAGACAGCCGGGATCTCTTCCGCGTACATATTTGCATCCCGGCACATGTGTTTCACCGACTCGGTGCTCCGCGCAGCTCCTGGCTCAATTCCACCGCCCGTCTGGCTCGGGGAGGGGTTCGCTTCCCGCGCGCGCCGCGCACAGCCGATCCCCGGCGGCAGTCACCTGCACGCGGACCCTCTTTGCAGCAGGACTGTGGGAGCTGTCATCTCCACAAAGTTCAAAGCGGAGCTCGTTTCCAGCGGGTGAGACTCACTATCTAATCTCGTGCACGGTGCTGCAAAGACGCCGGGCATGCCCGCACAGTCGCACCTCGCCTCTTTAGCCCCAAAACCTTCGCACGGGAGCGTTTGCTCCGTGGACGGCAAATACTTTTTCTCGTTCCAGGGCTGGAGCGAGCGGGGAAGCGTCCACAGACGGATTTACCCCGGCTTAGCTGTGAGCGGCTCCCCTCCGAAGCACCTTGGCCTTGGCCACGCCGCCTCCACCGCGCTGCTTTGCCGCAGCTGCTCTGGCAACAAGCCAGCGCCTGGAAACCAGGAGCGACACATTTCCCCGGGAACGGGAGTCCCTGCTTGTGCACAACGGCCCCAAGGGGACACGAAGCCACGTGCTGAGCCCTGGGAACAAGAGATGACCCAGCCCTGCTGTCCAGCACCAAGATGCCTGCACACAGCTTAAGCTACCAGTATCCACAATGATGTTCTGGGTACCAGTTACGTTCCTGGTCCTACTGGGGCAAATCCCCGTCTTCTGCGTCTTATCCTATGCAAGGACAACACACGCTGGAGAGGACAGAGCCGGGGGATGCAGCAGGCTGGCAGGATGCTCAGGGTGCACTGGAGAGGCTACTGGGCAGGTTTCCATCCACCCCTCTCCAATGCCACCAGATGAGCCCTGAAGCCACCCAGGACGGAGCTGGGGGCAGTCCTGCCCAGCGCCTCCAGCCGCCGAGGGGAAGGCGACCCACGGGAGCAGCGCTGCTCCGGAGGGAAGCATAAACCCAGCACGGGATCTCAAAGCGCATCCAAAGGAGCCTGCGCTCTGCTTTGCAGCTGGGGAAACTGAGGCACTGAGGCAGGTGCAAGGGCTTGCCCGTATCACCCAGCCGACCAGCAGCAAAAGCTGAACGAGAGCCCAGATCACCCAAACTCCAGCCTTGGGTTTACCCACGACACCCTTCTTCCCTGCTAAGCGCCCAGAGGGAGAAGCTGCCTGGGCAGCGCGTCCCAGGAGCCTGTGCTGGGGCAGGGAGGAGGGAAATAGGGGCAGAGCCTTGCTAGGGATGAACCCGGGATGTAAACCCAGCCCAAAAGCAACATGAGAGCATCCCTTCCTCCATACAGCCCCAGAGCTCACGGGATGGCGTAAGCCTCGCACGCAGCCCAAAACCTGCCGCCCTGCTCCCGCGAGCGGGCCCAGAGGGGGAACTGCTCCTTTACACGCTAAGTAGCTCCATTTGCAGGAGGCGGCCGCAGGCAAGTCGCTTCCTCCTTGGATCTGCGAGCCAGAAAGCGATGCCAAGGGGAGAAACTCTACCGCAGTGAGCAACGTACAGCTCACCCCAACCATGGGCTCCTGCCAGGGGAAAGGGAGGGGAAAGGGGGAAACCGCAACCACCTCCATCTGCCCGGGGTCAGAGCGTTTGCTGAACCAGCGCAAGATCCTTTTTTCCCAAGGACGCGCCGACAGGTCCCGGCAGGCTGAGCCACGCTCCTCGAGCCGGCTGCTC